AGTCCTTTCTTTTCCTGTCATCAATGTCTCTGAGCTTCTTCCAAGATTTTATCTTTCTCTGACAAGAGCAAGGAAATATTCTTCTTTGTTAAGGACCTGATGAAAAGATTGAGCCCCGGGAATCCAGAATAATCCTTCCATCTCTAGGTCCTTACCTTCATCACATCTGCAAATCCATTATTTCCGTATATAGTAACACAGTCATAAATTCCAGGCATAGAATGTGGCCACCTCTGGGGCCATTACACTGCCTACTCAAAGCCCCATTAGTGGGTGGGACCTGTGTTATGCTTGTCATCAAGGAAGCCTGCAGGAGGCTCAAAATAGGCACGATGGCAGTAAGAATGTATTGCAGTTAATGGGCTGACCATCAGGGAGAAACAGGAAAACTAAGAAACAAACAAAAACTAAAATAAAAATTTAAAAACAGTCATTCCAGAAAATACAGTAATTTTGAACAACTGCTTGTGGTCGAAAGAAGTCACGACAATGTGACTGAGATGCTTTCCAAATTGCCCCTTTATTTGATGATCCTGAATCACCAAAGGAAAGGGAAGCTCAGTGCTTCACCCACAGCTTAAGAGACCTTGAAAGTTTGTGGGCCATATACTCAAAAGGTTCCAGTACAGCATAGCGAATACTGAAAATTTTCCATATAAGCAGTTTGCTCTGTGTTTCTGACCTCTCCAAAAACAATGATGAAGGAGGTTTTAGTACTGCTGTACAGAATTCTAAGTGCTTGTAACTTGATTTCCCCCCTCCGTTCTAATGTTTAACTCTGCTAGAATGAATTGTTTAAGTTTACAAAAGGAGAGTATTCCTTAATGGTAGCAAAGTATGTGCAAAATTAAATTACAATGTGAGTCTATAATGGCTGTGAAAATCCTTCAAGAAATATAAATTTATGAAGGATATTTGAGTATTACTGAATTAGCAAAGGTTCAATTTTAGCTTTGACCAACTAGGTTCCTATAAAATGCGTAAAATTGTATTTTTACAGATATTTGTACCTCGCTGAAATAATAAGAAATGATGCTGTCCAGGTGAAATTATTTCACACTTGTATAACAATCTGTGTCAATGTATTTTAGGAAACTATCAAAGCACTTATACCAAAAAGTATGATCATCTGTAAAAGGTAGGACATTCAGCTGTGCATGGAATATGGAGCACACTGGTCTCCATATGTCTGGGATTTGCAGAATTATTAAAGTTCTAGTGATGATGCCATTTAATGTGCTCACAAATGATATAACAGATTTTTGTGAGTTCAGTATGGGATGGGTAACAGGACGGGAATCATTACTGGGCAGACTTGAGTTTATAGCTTGATTTCACCAAATCTCTCTGTAACTCAATTTCTTCATCTTTAAAACTAGGATGTATGACAGTTAAATTTTGTTTATTAGAGGCTTGCTATGCTGCAAATATTCAAAAGCTTTAGCTTTATTCATTGGAATGTTTCAAACAAACAAATGAAAGACATTGTGGTACCCGCATTTCCATTCTGGTATATAGTGTTGATGAACTACTTGCAGGTCTGTTGAAAGCCAGATCCTCTGTGCTGAGAACTCGATTTCACTCCTCCTTGTCTACTCAAGGTCTTTGCTTCTGCAGTTCCCTGTCTTCTGACCTGGGTCACCAGTTGTTCCCTCCTGTGTGATCATCCCCAGAGGCGTACCAACATCTTCGCAGTTCTACCATCTTACAAATAAAAATCTCTTCCTCTCCACTTCCTGGTCAGCTGCCAGCCCGGTTTGCTTGTACTTGTGTTTATTTGCATACTCATCTTTGAAGGAGGTCCCCTTCAAAAAGGTTTATGCTCACTGTTTCTGGTCGTTTTTTTTCCCTTGTACTTTCTTAAATTCATTTCAGACTGGCTTTTTTCCATATTGTGTTGATAGAAAAGATCCTGAAATACCCAATAGGCCTTTGGCACTAGTTTTGCTCTTTCTGTAATACTTTTTCCACAGGTCTCTGTATGGATACCTTCGCATCGCCAACCAATCTTTGGTAAAACATGATTTTTTGATGTGGCGCCTGACAGTGTTTATGAAACACTTCAAGCCATTTCAACACATACTGCAGTCTCAAGAAGGAAGGGGGTAAAAGCTTGCTCTGTGGCCTTTTCTTTAGACTCAGGGTTGCATGGGGATTTGATCCTCTGTATAATCCTCCTTGCAACAAAAACTCAAGGAATGTCTACAGACATACTTAATGCAGTGCTACCCTGCATTAAATTACTAGGTAGGAGACCACGCACCTATATGCGCTTTATTTTTTGACACTGGCACTGGCTGAGCAGAGCTGCTTGGGAAAATAGATGGAAGCTCATCAAATGCCTGAGAAGGACTGTTTCACTAGCAAAACAGAAGCTGAAGGAGTGTCTGTCTACTCAATCCAGTGTCATCTGTCATTGCCACACATGTTTGAGGTGTGCAGTGATTTGAGGACTTTAGAGAGAGCCAGAAAGTCATGAGAGACTTGTCTTCTGGGACTGTACCTCTTCTTTCATTGCCTGTCCTGAGTCAGTGGTTAAAGCTCAGTATAGGCCTACCTGGGAGATAGTGCACATTCGGTTCGAGGCCACCACAATCAAATAAATACGGCAATAAAGTGAGTCACGGAAACCTGTTTTCCCAGTGCATATAAAAATTGTTTCCATCATACTTTCGTCTGTCAGTAGCATCTTGTCCAAGAAGCTGTGTACATACTTATTTAAAAATACCTTATTACTAAAAAATGATAATGGTGCTTGGAGCTATTGAAAAACGGCACCAATCGTCTTGGTGAATGCAGGGTCCCCACAAAGCTTCAGTCTGTAAAATCTGCAGAATCAGTGAAATGAAATAAAGCAGAGCACAGTAAAAGCAGGCATACTACTTGGTGCTGGGTGACGTTTTTGGGGTCTTGTGAGGCGACTTGTGAGGTCAGTGTGAATCTAATAGATCAGAGTAGGCATTGTCACTGTAACCCCCTTTACCTGGCTCTAATTTTTCTTTTGACATATTGCATAACTCAGTTACATCGATCATCTTCTGTCAATAAGATGGAAGCTTTAGGTAAGAGATTTTTATCTTTTTGTTCATTATATACCCCTGGCCATTAGGGTAATGGCTGGCCTAAATTAGTGCTCAATAAATTTTTGTGAATGAACGAGTGAGCAATTGTTAAAAAATACTCATTCAGTGCCAGTAATAAGTAACACTTTCTAGCTCATAGAATATTTCCTAGCTCCTAAAATATGAATTTTATTCATAGTGAGATTGCAAGGTTGAGCCTCTTTAGGGAGCCTTACCACATCATATCAGGAAAGAGGGCCTTGGAGAAATATATTTAAAGGGAGTTGCATCTTAGCAAGGCCAATATAAAAAAAAAAAAAGCCGAGGGATGTATAAATATTCACACACATGTGAAGGCTGTGTTATTAGGAGAAATTTTATATGCTATGGTTTCCTAAAAAGAGAAACTCCCCAACAAATCATTTTCACAAATTGGTCTTCATGGTCTAAGAGGGTGTCCATGAAATGAATGTGACCCCTTTGTGCTCCAAGTAAAACTAAGTATGATTCCTGCTTAAATAAGAGATTACAATAGTAAAGGAATAAACGGTGTTTAGTTTTGTTTATAAGCCGCTATATTTACATAGGGAGCATCATACTGTTGGAAATTTTAGCAAGTGATAATTATCCATTTGATCCAGTGTAATATCTAGTTAGTGTACAGATAGTAATTGAAAATAATAATTCAGTTCCTTTTAACATATGGCTCACTATGTAAGATTTCTAGCTATGTACATCTGGGCTTTTGTGTAATTTTAAAATGCTGTAGTTCATAAAACAAACCTCACATATTTTAAAATATCTTATGCTATTTATCTTTCCTGGCATGGTCATCTTTTATTGACATTTAGAGACTTCCAAATCCAGTCAGAGATACACTTTCACTCTGGCTATTCCTGGTGCTGCTTTCCTGCCATGCGCTCTCCCCTCACGGTTAATTGATTAATTGCTTTCTTCTCCATGTTCCCAAAACATCTATCATGGGGTGTGGGTGTTATTTATTTTTGATCCTCTGAGTTTCAAGGGCATCTTCATCATCTCAGTTTCCCTAGTGACCAGCATGGTCCTTGTCTTGTGATACCTGTTCAATAAGTGGTTATTGAATTAGAGCATTAAAATACATTTCTGCTTAGCCACTGGTTCACCCAGCAACTATGTATTAAGGATTTTTTTTAGTATCCAAGGCATGATGTTATATGTACTAAAGATAACTGAAAAAAGAAATCATATACCCAAGTTTATAAAATTCTACAGTATAGTATAATAAGGAAAAATAGTTCATGCATAAAAATTGTCATACATGGTAGAAAGTGTTGTTTTTCACTTTCTGCTGTGGTTCAAAAATATCTTCCTATGGGCTAAGAACATATATTTCCTCATTAAATGGCTAAAAAAATCATTCAACACAATTCTTTTGTTGTCTCGGAAATTAGGTTAAATTTTGTCTTGATCTAAGAATTTATCTCCCTCACTTTGGCTTCGTGAGCTGTTGTAGATGATTGAATTAAAGCACTATTCAGGGTTATGCTGCTACTTGCCAAATAGTCTACATTTAAAATAGCAAGAGAAAGTTTCTTTTGATGCCTAAAGGTATGAATTTTATGCATTCCCTAGTTTTTTGAAGTCACCCTAAGTAATGAATCCTTTACATGTTGCTACAAGTTTATTGCTAATTGCCTTAGGAAATTGGGTATACAAAACGTTTACAACAGAGAACAATAATGTCATTGAAAGAATAATTCCAGCAAGTTTGTAACTGAGACTTTTTAAAGTTTGGTGAGAACAATTTGAATGCTTAGTATTTAACTGTATTTAATGCCTTTTGTTTTTCAACGTGGTAGATTGACTTTTTCCACATCAGGGTTTAAGTTGTTAATAGTTTGCATGATTACAGATTTTAACTGATGGGCACCAAGAAATTTTACTGTTTTTGTTTAGACTTGGATTATCACTTGCATTTATCTTCAACTGCTCCTATTTAATCCTCTCGTCAAAACTAAAGAGATCTGCGGGAATCCTGTGACTGATAATGTAAAAGACATCACAAAATTGGTGAGTAAAGAATGCTTTTCAGTAGCTAAGAATCTCTTATGATAGTTGATGAAAGATTGAGGATTTCCTTGTCCTAGATTTGTATTTTTCAAAGATGAAGAAAGGGATCTCTAAGTTATTCTGAGGGATCTCTAGAGATCATTAGGGGGAGGTATTTAAGGTCTGAGAAGATTTATTGGTAAAAGTGTCACATTAGACACCATGGCAATAATATTTCCTTTGCTGCTCTTGTTCTCTTGGTCGCAGGTAGTGAAAGCACTGTGTGCTGTGTACTGGCACCAGCTTGTTCCCCATTATCATGTGAGTGGGCTCCCCTTCACATGCCTTCCTGCTGCTCTCTACCACACTCCCCATTGGTGTAGACTCTGGCATGTGATGGGTGGGTATTTGCTCGTTCCATGAACATAGTTGGGAATGACTTTGCTGCCTAGATGTGGGACAGACTCACCTCCTGTGTGCACCACATTGGACCTCTTCCCTTAGCAGAGGGCATTTGCATTGCTGCCCCTCTCACTGGCAACCCCCTGCCTTCCTTCCCTTGATGCTTCTTTTAAGACTCAAACCAGAGAGCAGAGGTAGCAGGGATGTATTCTCCGTATCTCATGGTGGAAGGGAGATTTTTCATATACATATTTGGACTACTAAATGTGATTTCAAGATGAACAGTGTTTGTTTGAGAAGCATTTTTGTAAGTTCTTGGCTCAAAATAGCCAGTTAATTATCCCTTTGTTATTTGAATATTGATATTGAGTAGAAAACACTGGAGATGCAGGTGGAGAAGGGAAAGAAAAGTGTCCTGGTTGAAATATTAGAAAATGGAGGTAGAAAGGGCTCTGTTTTTCTTCCTGACTTGTGATATATATTTTTGGTTTATTTGTTTTATTAAAGGTTTATAGCAGAATTTAAAAAGGAAGGTTTAATTTTACAGTTAAAATCTGTCTGGCTTAGCCTCAGTGTAGAATTAACAGAATACAGGCACTCACACCCCTGAACATGCATACCCAAAAAATTTGTGTAAATTTTTTGAGACATTCAGACAGTCCATGTTTAAAACCCTTATTTGCCTAGTGAGACAGATCACTAGCATTGCAAAAATTAATGAACTAATAAATTTTTTGATGCAGCAGCTAAATATAGCCACAAGATTTACTTGAAGGACTGGTAAGCAAATCAATAAAATATCTGTCTTCTGTACACCCACTAAGTGTTGAGTTTAGGAATGGCGGTAAGGAGGAATTTTGTTTTTTCAAACAGAGATCGTGGGCCTTTCCTTGTTTCTTGTTACTTCACGATCCAAGGAAGAATGTATTTTATATTCTGAGTTATGGGTTGATGAATAGAAAGGTTCACTGACTGTCAAGTGAATATAGCAAGGAAGAGCTCCACTTAGGACCATTAGAGTCACTCAGAGTGTCCGTTAAAAGTTACAAGTACCTCAGTCTTGCTCCAAGAAACTGATTCAAAATCTCTGAGGAGGGGTTGGAGGTGTCGACATTTTTCATGACTTTCTGAAAGAATTTAAGAACTATTACTGTGGATGGTCTATTCTGTTAAAAGTTTAGAGACCAAAACATGTCTTGGCCTTAATTTGACCTGATTTCGTTTTGTGGACTAGCTATGTCTATATTATATATCTTTCTAAGGGTGTCAGGTTAATGCAGAGCTCTGAAGTGTGCTTAAAATAAGTCACCAGGGAGAGCCTTCTCTCATGGAAGTGCTTGAGTGACAGTGGGAGCCAAGAATGAGCTGGGGCCCTGGGGAGCAAATTTCCAATAGATATCAGTGAAGCACAGTTGGAAAACAGTGGGGCATCTCACCACAGACTGAACATATCCCAGATTCACTTGCTATTTAAGAAAATTTCTTATGAGGTGGAGGCAGGAGAATTTTGAGTTTGAGGCTGGACTGGACTACTCAGCAAATCTCAAGGGGATGAAAAGGAAAGAAAGAATGAAAAATAACTTGTTGGCATTATTATTTTTGAAGTGTTTAAAGAATATGACTTAAAAGTGCCATTTCCTGTGAAATGTCAACCTGATATTTTTAAGTGGCGTAAGTATGTATCATAAGCACCCTTGCAAGATTTTCTATTCTTCTCTGTAATCATCTGCTTATTATGAGTCAGTCGTCTGTCATTTAAGGCAATAAGAAAAAGCAAGATACTTTAATAAGATAAGAAAGAACAGAAGTGTCCAAAAATTATTAATATTGCCAATAAAATATGCTTTCTCACTCCAAGGGCAAATGTCAAATCACTAAACTGGGGGAAACAAGTTTTCTTCCTTCTAGCAGTTGACTCTGGGGGAAAAAATTAAATTCAAGAATTGCTCTAGTGAAATTATTGTGTTTTCTTTGGATAATCTTTTAAACAACATGCTGGAAAACAAGTCAAGATAATAAAAAGTAGGACTCAGAAGATCACTTGTAATTGAATAAAAAGCTATATAATTCAAATCTATATTTTATAAAGAAGGAAATAGAAAAATAAAGCAAACCCTGAGCTCAGTACATTAATAATCTAGTTTGGGAGAGAAGCTGTCTAAGTAAAAATACACAGCATATCCCTAGCACCATGGTAACAATGCAATTTGGTATAATTAGAAAGATTTTATAGACTAACATAGGGCCTAACTAGTGCCAATATGTACATTGATTAAAAAATGGACTTTGGCTCTCTGCTCCTACTTACCAAATTTGTAGTGTAGATTGCAAAAAAGAAAGTATGTATATATAATATATATATAAGTTTTATCGGTTACTATCACATAATCTTTTTGTACCTGTTTCCTCTAGTTATAATAAAGAGATTAATCATACTTAATCTTACAGAGCGATTGTGAGAATTGAACAAGTTCATAGAACAGAGCCTGAAACACAGTAAGTGCCTTTGAAATCTTAGCTGTTGATGGTGATGGTAGTGGTAGTTGTGTTAGGATACTGGAGATGGAAGGAAATTTAGAAACAATTAAAACAAAATATTTTGTAAATAAATAAGAAAACAAACCCAGGAGTGGTGAAATTCAGCTGTTGGTCCCATTACCCATGTGATCTGTTTTACCAATGCTTTGTCTTCAGGAAGAGTGATTTTGCAGCCAGCTCCTAAAACCCCCATGACCATCAGCTTTTGTTTATATAGTGGACTTTCCAAATAAAACTTGGCTTGCAGAAAGATCCGTGCTTATGAAAGAATGCTTGGAAACTACTGCTTGGGCCAGAGCTGGTAGCACATCACTGAGAACCATCAGTACCAGTATTTTAGACTGCAAATTTAAGAAGTAGCTGTAAAGTCACCACTGTAGAAGTGAATGAATCTCAAACTTGTGGAAACATGGTATAGGAACCTTAATGTTTTCCACTAATATCCCACAAAATAATAATTTGCATGCAAGTTCCGAGACAGGTTAGGCCATAATACTTAAAGAGTTGTTGGGGTTTTTTTGTGTTTTTTTTTTTAATGTTTGAAAGGAAGCCAAATGTTTCTATTCTAATGCATTAATATTGCTAATGCAAACAACATGCAAGTTGGTTGAGTTTTATGGATATACATAAGTGTAGAATTTTGCTAAAGAATGATGAGGCCAGGCATTCTTGATGGAAATCGAGAATACCTTGTTGTTTGAATACCAGCTGTACTATTGTTTCCTGGCTGGGTGACCATAGGCAAATTACAGAGGCTCTCTGGGACTCAACTTCCTGATTTTTAAAATGAGAAACATGACATGATCAACAGTTCTTAATCCAGGACTCATAAACTTCAAACACTTGCACATGTAACTAAATTTTGCCTTTCTACACTTTATGTCCATTTCTGAGGAGAAAGTGTATAATTTTCATCATTTTTCAGAGAGATCTGGGACCCCAAAGAAGATTACTACAAAATCAGAGAATTTGGGAAGTAGTATTCTATTCCATAATATTATTTCTTCAGCTTTCACCTCTTGAATTCTTCAGTAGTACCTCAACTGAGGGTTGTACAGAAGAGGAACTTTTTCATCAGACGTAGCCTTGGTGCATTTTTTTTTGGCAGAAGGAAAGTGAACTGACAGAATGATTTTCTTTTTTTCCCCCTTGTGCTCACAGTAACTTCATCAGTTGAGATCATCCCTTTGAATTCTCTACCACTTCTGCCCTTGAATTAGGTGGCAAATTGCACTGTGCCCACAAACCTTAAGTTTGTTTGCTTGGAGTGATTCTCATGTCACAGAAGCACATGATTTATGACTTTACATTATTATTTTTTTAATTTCTTCTTGGACACTTTGTCCTCCCCTTACTGTCCCCATGGTTTTTATTTGAAATCCTCTGGCATGTTTACTTATCATAATAGTTCATTTATTTACAGAACATTTTGCTTTGTTTCTAAAAAATGTTGCAAGACTTGTTTTAAATGGCAAACTCAGACCTACCTAAGGAAAGAGTCAAGTGTCTGAGAAGAGAATGAATTAAACTTTAAAAACTTGTATCTTATGGGGAGGATACAGCTTTTAATACTTGTCAGTGTTCATGTAAACGAGGAGTCCAAGTACTGAAGTAGTTCAAATTTATTTTCCCTTTTTGTTCTCTCTAGTCTTTATTTGTAATGTTTTTTTCTACATTTGGGTTTCTACATTTGAGGGAATTTAATGTGACTTTCTTGCTTTTTAACAATATTTTTATCTGTTTAGTAATGATTTATTCTTTTCAAAATGGTTTTGAAGGTTGGCTGCCCTCCCATCTCTTGAAATTACACTTTTCAAGGTCAGTCCACAAATCAGTAGGATAGAATTGAAACAAAGGAGTTCATGGCTTTCCTGGTCTTGTGGTAGGCACTTATTTGAAGTTGGTTACATTAATACACAACCTTTGGAGCTTAGTATAATGAGAGGTGGTTAATACATTCTTAGATAACAAATTTTCACACTCTGAAAAGTTTTGTTTAAATTTATTTTTTATTCTCGTTCAAATAGTGTGTTTTTCAAATTGAATTATCTTTGCATTAAAATGGAGGACTGAAGTCTCTG